GTGGTACAGAATTAATAGAAGAAACGATTATAAAACTTCTGTTGACATTTAATAGGGGCACTGGCGAACACTCACCTTGATATTGTGCTTGTTTACCGTGATGAAGTCGTCGCGATCGTGTCGAGACATTGTATGGAAAAATCCAAGAGCGTGACCAAGCTCGTGCGCAGCGATGGATACCGTTTCACAACCACTTCCTAGTGACAGCTTCTGTTCACCGCCGAGTTTTCCGACGTAAGACCAACATCCATCCTCCGGGAATACCATAATTCGATCTTTGGCTGAAACAACAAACTCTCACGGTGAATTCCGAAATGCTGAAAGGGCTATTACCGTGATTTAGAGCAAAAAAATAACTGTAACTTTCAGTGTCTTCTTACCGAGAATGGGTTTTCGTGTGAATTGATGGCGTATCCTGTCCCATAGCTGTTCGCTCCTTTTTTCGAAGGAACTTCTCATCTGCCTGCCTTCAATGATCACATTGTTTGCATTTTGCCCATTTTCCAACAAGCGCTACATTTTTACACATACTTGCGAGCTTATGGAAGTAATAATTCACTCCTTCTGACCATAGCATATTTGGATATCTATGATCCTTGAACGCTTGGCGTTTTGCGCGATTTTCACCGGCAACCTCATCTTCTATATCTTGCACAATCTCCTCGGCTTGCTCCCTTCAACGGCGATGAATAAGGAAGTTAACGAGGTAGTACTAGGCGTTGATTAAGTGACATACTCTGTTAGCACCATGTCGCTTTGGTAGAGATCCTGGCCAACCTGACTGTATTCGTGACCTCAGTGATGGAGTCTCCTTTCTCTGCGACTTTATCCTTCTTGATGGGTCGCAATCTCTGCAAAATTCAATCCGTTGTGGGTTGTATACTTATTGACCCACTAGACGGTTTTTCACCCAAAGACACCCCATTCAAATGTGAAGAATGTTGAAAAGTTTTGTCCTTTTGCCAAAATTTTGGAACTTCTATGGCCTTCTGTCGTAGAGGAGTGAACTGTCAATGTTACCTTTCACCTCTTTCCTCGAGCGATTATCTATCATTTTTGGTGTTTAATCTCCAAATTCTCAACCTTGATGTCATACTCCCTGATCTTGTCGGCGGATTTTGACAGTTGCCGTGTTTGCGAAGAAGAGCTGTAATTGTATGGATAGGAAAGAGAAATGGCTGTAAGAAACTAAGCCATATGTCTACTGAACTTGGAGACGGAAAAATGAAAAACTGAGACGAATAGGATACAGAGCATCAAAAGACAGAAAGGAAAAGGGAACCTTCTTGAATCCAACGATAGTTGCATTCTTTAGTTTCTCTCCGAAACTGCCTTCACCGGAAAACACTCCTTTCAACTTTGGTCTATTGATGCACTCTGCGCAAGGCGGCAATCAAGAATAAGGTGAGCAATATCAGCCTCATTCTGAATTGTGAAAACTATTTTCTGCAATATTAGCTTCAACTCTACCCATAGAACACATCATTGCGAAACGGAAGTCAAAAGTATAAGATTGTGTGGTGATGGACACACTGCACTGCTGCTCTCCGAGTTTATATCCATCTCCTCCGACTATGCTTCAGAATAGGACGGCTGACAAAATATGGTCTCATCTGATAGCGGAACTAAATACAGAAACCCTGGACAAAATCTTGTATGTGTGTCGTTTTCTGTTTGAACAACAACTCATGGAGAAGTGGCGTGGGAGTGTTGCATAGCAAGAAGAGATGCTGTGAGCGGACCTGTGATGTCAAAGATGGAGAAGCTAAACGCCGTACTGCCGTACAAAATCGCACACAGGATTCGCAAGTACTGTTCCCCTCAATGCTAGAATCGCAATAAAACTCAGGACGAACAAGCAATATCGTGTCTCGAGAGAGTTTCGATGACAGTTTGTCAGTCAACTGGACCAGAACAGCTAGCTACAACCTGAAATAATGGACTAACGGTTTTGTCGTCAAAATACAACCGTTTTTTGTACGCATCGGCCTTTGTGATCTTATGGGTTCCTTTGGGTCATTCTACCTTGCTACCGTAACTTGTAGCCATTCTGTAGTCCAACACATTACCAAACTGCATTCGTTTCCAAGATAGGTATGTTGCTCCCCTTAGTCGTCCTAGGCTTTATTGATATTGGAGTTCGGAATCAGTACTTGCGAATCCTGTGTGCGATTTTGTACGGCAGTACGGCGTTTAGCTTCTCCATCTTTGACATCACAGGTCCGCTCACAGCATCTCTTCTTGCTATGCAACACTCCCACGCCACTTCTCCATGAGTTGTTGTTCAAACAGAA